TTATTTGATTAATTAAAAACATACCTAAATATTCTGCAGAAACAAGTGTTGTTTGTTTCAATTTATTCACTTGGTCTTCCATTATGGACGTTAATGGGCAACAAACTATGACTTTGCTGTTCTTCTTTTTACTCCAACCAAGAGCCCGAATTACTGGTAAATAAAGTTGATATGGGAGAGATTTTCCATACCCGGTAGGTAAAATAGCGAGGCAATTGTTATTATTCAGAATAGTCTCCAATATTTCGACTTGTTTTTCTTTAAGACTGTTTATTTTTGTTTCTTTCAAGACGACATGGAAAGCACGTTGATAATCCGCCATTTTCCTTCTAATACCGACCGTTTTCTAATACGTGTTATCTGATTGGTCAATATTTTCTTATGAATATGCAGACTCAAAGTTCACTCAGAGATTGACCCTTATGAGAGTTCTTCAGACCCTACTAACGAAGTGATATAGTAGGGGCTGGCTTTAGTCAGACTGCCTTTTTCCTTTGGAGTCTCCATATGAGTGAAAAATTCTCAAAAGGGACGTTAAACAATATATACAGTTAATGAATCATTCAATCAAATCCTTTGTTTTAGCTGAATAGCTGATTTTTTTTATTCAGCTTATTTTACTTTTTTTTTTAAAAAGCTGGTGTTTTTATGTACCCCCAACTTTATTTGGCATGGATGAAAAGAAAATATTCGATGACAAAGGCTTTTTTCCTATTAATTTATATGTTTTATGTGAATTAGTTAAACAACAATATTTGAAAAGAACTTTGAAAAAAAATACTAGGAAATTTACCTTTATACGACTCTTCTTTAAGATTTCATCTTGTTCTATGTAAAAATATTTTCCTCACTCTCTGATTTTGAAAGTGGAATAATACGGTACATGTATATTCTCACCGATTTTCGGTAGGACAAAGGCACAAAAACACCTAAATATTTAATTTATGATTTAAATTACCTTATTTCTTATCCATCTACTCTGAAACTCTTTAAGATGCACAACTGTAAAACATAATTAGAATTAGAAAGACCAGTAAAAAAAACAGCATTTCAGTTTGTACCTTGATGAAATATTTATTATAATTTACTTTTATTAATTGTAGGGGAAAGTCAAGCTTTTCTATGATGCCAAGAACACAAAAATAGCCAGTTTCTCAGAGAGAGTTGTAAATGGTAAAGTCTTCAAAGGTGTAATGGTTCAGAATTTTGAGGAAGTAAGTTTCTGATACTTAATTCAATATATATATGTATTTTGTCAAATTTGATGTAGTACACGTTACCAGAGGATGATCATCTTAATATTTTTAGCTCTACTGGTCAGAGACCAGGAGAGCTTATGTGATAGTAATGCGTCCGTCGTCCGTCCGTCTGTCTGTCTGTCCGTCTGTCTGTCTGTCTGTCTGTAAACAATTATTCAAAATGCTACTCCTCCTACAGTTTTGGTCCGATTTCAATATAACTTCGCACACAAGTAGCCTACACTAAGATACATAATTCTGTGCATTGGTTTTTGATTTCAATGAACGGTGTTGCCGTGGTTACTAAAAATAGAAATTTCTGTGAAAGTCTTTCAAAATGCTACTCCTCCTACAATTTTGGTCTGATTTCAATATAACTTTGCACACAAGTAGACTACACTAAGATACATAATTCTGTGCATCGGTTTTTGATTTCGATGAATGGTGTTGCCATGGTTACTAAAAATAGAAATTTCTGTGAAATTCTTTCAAAATGCTACTCCTCCTACAGTTTTGGTCCGATTTCAATATAACTTGGCACATAAGTAGATTACACTAAGATACATAATTCTGTGCATAGGTTTTTATTTTAATGAGTGGCAAGGATCATTTTTTTTACTTATCGCTGTTTTAAAGTCTCAAGTCCCAACTGCTACTTTTCTCTTCCTTTGTTTTAGGTATAAACCAGTAGAGCTACAGTCTCGACAGAGACTTCTGGTTTTTATTTTACCAGGGAGTTCAATACACTGTCGTGAACGGTGTCTGCAATACGACTAGACTATCCAGAAAAGGATTTACGCCCGCCTGTATACCTAGTAAGCTTTCTTCTGTTTAATGGAATGAGATAAATCAGTGCATTTATTGACTCGTATAGCGATATTTTTTTCACTTGGTTACTAACTTGTAATAAAAGTGTACACAGGACCTGTCCTATATCTCGCTCGTATTTGGATATTTTACTGAAAATAGATGAGAAAGACCAACTTACAACATTGTGTGACAAACGTGATGATTTCAGCTTTTCCATCTTCAACTTTCCTATCCTCTGTCACCTGCGTTTTGGGTCTGTGTCTCCCTTTACGTTAATTCAGTACTCAAAAGCATTCTCAAACGACAGCCATTTTTGTAAACCGAGGCATACTTTGACAGATAAGCTGATGTACATATATTATAGAGATTATACAAACATATCAAAACATTCTTTAAAAATGTGATTTTTATAATGACCTTCTAAGCAAATATTCATTGGTTCGTATTTTGGTTGACATTTTTCATTCAAATTTTAGGACTTTATTTTTGTGTTCGCATTTGAACAGATTAAATTCTGCACTTCCTGACAATATTTGTATATTAAAAGAAATAATTATAAAGCCTTGCTGTTGTTTAGGAATCTTTGAAATTGTTTTCCTGGTATATTTCTATGTTAAAGTAGTTAGACCACCAAAGAGATCAAATCATGCTATGTAAATCTTCTCAAGAACAGCTAGATCATGATTTCTTGTTTCCGATATGCAATCATTCTTACCCAGCACAGATCCAAGGCTCTTACTAATATGGTCCTAGAGAATGTGATAGGGCCACAACTTGGGATTTTTTAAAAAATTCATAGAATATAGAGGACGTTGTATTTAAAATTCTAAAGAGCAAATCAGCCAGGGATGTATAGTATAGAATATAGGTCCTTGGCTGAGCCAGTGGGTCTAAAATGAGAGTTGTGCCTAAGGGTTTCTTAAACTTTTACAGAAGGAAGCAAAAAAGTGAGTGACACTCACCTGGGAACGTCATCTGACTCGCTGGACGTCAGTACATACGAGGTCCCGATACCGCAGTACAAGACAAAGGGTTACTTCATGATGACTAACCAGTTATGTGTCCCTGTGGGGGATACTATCACAGCGGGCACAGAGAAAGGTATGAAGAAAAGCGTACAAGTAGTCAATAAAAAAGCGAGTCAAGTTAAAAAAATCATTGCTGAAAAACAAAATTTCTTTAATGACCAAAATCAGATAAATATTGATGTTGGTCAAGGAATTATCAATAGATAATGTATTGGGTGCTTTTATTATATACTTTTTTACTGCACAGACATGAATTATCGTTTTAGCTGGTTTCATGGCTACTGTTGGATACACAGGATTTGAACCTGGAATAAAAGATACCAAAGTTTTCAATAAACCAAGAGAATGCAGCAGTAAAATAGACGAGGTAAGGAACAAAATGTCTGATATTTTTAACTTTGAAGCCTTTAAATTTAAATTTCTCTTTCTAAATTTTGAAATCAAATTCCATTGATTTGACAAATAAGTAAAATTTCGAGTTTTTAGTGAAGATACACTTAATGTAGAAAGCTATGTCATTTAGATTTACAAATAAAGAAAAAAATGCTTAATTGTAAATAAGAACGGCTTTTTCCTTCAAATAATATATACATGCTCAAAGTTTTAGTAAGCTTCAAATAGAATTACCAACTCATTTAACAATTCTTATCATTTTAGGGAGAAATCGATCTCTTTGAAAGGTTTGGCGTGTTCAACTACAAAATATCCAGTTTGTTTAGATAGGAAATGCTGTGAAGCCTGCAGAAAATCCTAGAAAAACTCACAGCAGTCATATTTTGCCACATGAAAAGTTTCTTAAATATTTTTTTTTAATTATATTTTTTGGTTAATGTATAGGAATCTCCTGTGTGCTTGCTCTCTGAACAATTTGTCCATATTGTTGTCGCCATCACAATATCCTAGATTTTATATATTTTTGTCTTATTTTTACTGAAAATAAACACTTTTTAAATTTTTGTATGAAGATTTCTCTGATTTATCAACATTCTCTAAAACAACTTGATCAAATTTTACTGAAATTAGATTAAGGAAATGCTAATGAATTTGTAATGGTAACCCTACAATTATAAACTTTATGATAAACTTCAACTTCTCTATCGCTAATTTTCCTTACTTGTTCCCCTGATCAGCTTTGATACACAATAGGATCTTCTTTGTACAATTTATTCCTAAAACGAAGCAATCTATCGACAAATAGATAAATGAAAAAAGGATATCAACAATCTCATTTAAAGTCATCATTTCGCAAGTTCTGTTGATGAATCAATGACCTTGTCAGCAAATACAATTTATCATTAAGTCAAATGATGACTGACGTTTTACATGTTACATTTGTACCTGTTAAGTCTTTATTTACACACTGAATTATCTACGGAGTTGTCCGTTTGCCTGATCTTGACAAAGACCTTTGGCGGGTGTGATTGGTCGACAGGGGACAATCACTCCTCCATGACACCTTATCACACCTCTAATGTTTTTTAGAAGTCTGTATTTGCTCTGTTTTTTATTTGAATTGTTTCAATACATTTTTGATTACTGTTCGTTATCTCTATTTCTATTTCATTTGAAGAAAAATATTTCTTCCGATGGATTGATCTTTCGTGGTGGAAGTAGGAAAGTGATACAGCTTCATACAATTTTATCAGTTTGTCAGGGATACAAATCGTTGATACCTTCATAACATTAAAACATCGTTTTTTGAAGAAAAACAAATCCAGATGAAACTAGATGCTGTCATGAGACAGTAATACCCGCACTAAGGTGTTTGCCTCTAAATACACGCTCCTACATATTGGGCGGCTTTCCAAAGAAATAGTCAAAATAATTCTATAATTTACATGTATTCATCAAATTGAGTATGAAATTCTCAGACCCTGTGACCAATAACTCAGAACCTCTTATATTTATTTTATACATGTTTAATTCATTATATACCAGTCTGAATTTTATTAATGATGTAAATTCATGCACGGATCTGTCGGGGGGGGGGGGGGGGGGGGTCAGGACCCCCCTGGAATTTACAAGGTTAAAAAATGTATATACTAAAACAAGGAAAAAGTTACAATGGACCCCCCTTGGAAAATGCAGATCCGCCCCCCCTGGTAAACACGAATATGTGTAAAATAAGTATGAAAAGTTAAACATTTAATTTGCGGCAATAGAAGTCACCACTACTCCCACCCCACCCCCGACGATATAGGTTTTTGACGTTTGGGTGAGATTTACTTTAGGTTTTTTTTTTGATTGTCAATTTCTGGGTTAGGATTTTTTTTTGACTGAGGAGGACCCCCCCCCCCCCCAACCCGGAAAAAATTTCTGGATCCGCGTCTGAAATTAGATTTTGATATATGTTTTGCTCATAATAGGACCTTTTTAAATTTACTAACCCCCCCCCCCCCCCTCGACACCACAATCACACAGCACATACTTTTTGGAATAGGCTAGATGGAAAAGGTTTGTTAAAATTTAATATCGTTTGTTATGAATTAATTTAAAATTTGTTCTTGTACTATACATGTGAACATGTAAATTTCTACATCACATCACGTTGCGTCACCTATTATCATATTTATAGATTAAACACCATTTGGCACACCTCGGCCGATTCCCACTTCATCTGATAAGGTGATGGAATCGACGAAGGTTCGCCAAAATGGCACATGGCTGTAGTCTGGTGTGCATTGGATTAATTCATTTTGAGTTATAATTGGATTTATATTTCATGAAGTTGAGACACAGGGAGTCGGTAAGTAGAAGTTTTGGTATAGTGGGGGGTAAAATACACCCAAACTATTAGGTTAAAGTTTAAAAAGGGTGAAAGATCATCGCATGCCACACTAGACGAATTTCATATTGTGAAGTTATCTCCCGTTGTCGATGTGACATTCAGTTACTGCCAATACTGGTGCGGATCCAGAATTTTTTTCGGGAGTAGGGAGGGGGGTTCACATCTCAGTCAAAAAATTCCAGCCCAGAATTTCGTGACAAGCAGGAGAAAAAAATGAAAACAAATAAACAAATAAAAAAACAATGATAGTGAGGTCAATGTTTTCTAAGTTTATAGGGAGAGGATGTCAAGAGTCATTTTTTACTTGCTACAGTATATAGTCTTGTTTAAATAACAAAGCAAATGCCAGATGGGGGGGGGGGATGGGGGGATTCCAATCTTCCTACCCACTTCCTGTCCCTGAAATAACAATGTATTTTGTTATTCCAGTTAATTGAGTTAAATAGTATATTTTTTTCCATTTGACTAATTATTATACATATTTTGTTTCTTGTGTTTAGTATGTCTGTCTATAAGTCTGCAGAAATTAAATCCTAGTTAGCTTGCCCATAAGTTTTAAATGGGATGGGCTATACAAATAGCTTCCACATTTTATAGGTTTATTTCTTGTGACAATTTAATAAGACCTTTTATTTGGGTACCATTAATTTTTACCTCTGATCGCTTGACATGGGATACACATTTTTACAAGAAAAATACCAAACTTTAAACTCTGCCTAAATTTTGATCAGTAGGTGCTAGGGCTTTCATACTTATCATGACATATTGTATTCATTGTGAACTGTCAACAGGTGTAAATATGTTTGAACTTGACCCTAGAGTTTGAACCACTTAAACAAAAAAATTAACCTTGGCAATTAACTTTTGAACAGGAATTACTAGGGATTTCTTTATTTCACATGTGCATTCCTTGTGACAAGACTTTCTTCTGATACTAACAATTTGAACCCTTTGACCTTGACCTTTGATTTTGACATATATTTGAGAAACTTCAACCTTCGCCATAGGCTTCCATACTGGGACATCAGTGTTTCACAAACACATCTTATCTTCATTATTATTTGGCGGTGTCTCCATATGAGGGAAGATGTATTCACAACAAACAAACAAATCACTAAAGAAAATATAAAACATGAATATGTTGGTCATGCATATCTCTGCAGGAAAAAAAACAGCTTTTCAAATACTCCAACCATATCGTAACCCTTTCAAAACACTCATTTGAGCTTTTTTGGTTTTCTTAGCATATAATGTCTGTCGTAACGTGTTGTCCATCTGTTTGTCTGAAAACTTTTTACATTTTTAACTTCTCTAGAACCACTGGGCCAATTTTACCCAATTCATATAGAAATATGTACATTTGTATGTCAGACTCAATCCATCTGTCTCAATAAATTTAACCTTGGTTATCACGGTTATATCTACTGAATGAGAAGAGACATTCATATTAAACTTATGTATTAGTATATATATTTACCTGTGAGAATGGCATGGTTTTTTTTTTTTACATGTGACCTAGAAGTTTGACCAACTTGCAAAAAAAATTAAATTGTTACAAATTCATCATTTTGAAAGAGAAAAGTTAGGGCATTCATATCATAATGCATGTATATTATTACCTGTGATAAGACCTTTCCAAATAAATCATGACTTTTACACTGTGACCTTGACCTTGAAGCGATCAAGCCTAACCTACTTTTCAAAAATGTTGCATTTGCTTATAACTTTTGATTGAGATGAGATATGACTCTCACATTTGACATGTACATAAATTACTCATAAGAATTCGAGGTGTTTCCCAGCATGCGATGTTTTTTTATGCGCCCGAATTTTTTCGGGGCGCATATTGTTTTTGTCCTGTCTGTTTGCCTGTTTGTCTGTTTGTCTGTTTATCTGTTTGTCTGTTTGTCTGTTGTCAACTTTAACCTTGGCCAAAACTTTTGAACCGTAAGAGATAGAGACTTCATATTTGGTATGCATACTCCTCTAATAAAGTTCTTTCAAATGACATCAAGGTCAATGACCTTGTGACGTTGACTGTGACCTATATGCTAAAAATAGGTTTTTCAACTGTTTGTCATAACTTTTGAACCATAAGAAATAGAGACTTCATAATTAGTATGCATACTCCTCTAATAAAGTTCTTTCAAATGACATCAGGGTCAATGACCTTGTGACCTTGACTGTGACCTATATGCTAAAAATAGGTTTTTAACTGTTTGTTATAACTTTTGAACCATAGGAGATAGGGACTTCATATTTGGTATGCATACTCCACTAAAAAGGTTCTTTCAAACAACACCAAGGTCAATGACCATGTGACCTTGACTGTGACCTTTATACTTAAAATAGCTTTTTCCACTTTTTGCCATAACCTTTGAACCATAGAAGATAGGGACTTCATATTTGGTATGCATACTGCACTAATTAAGTTCCTTCAAATGACATCAAGGTCAATGACCTTGTGACCTTGACTGTGACCTATATGCTAAAAATAGCTTTTTCCACTTTTTGCCATAACTTTTGAACCATAAGAGATAAGGACTTCATATTTAGTATGCATACTCCACTAATAAAGTTCTTTCAAACAACACCAAGGTCAATGACCATGTGAAGTTAACTGTGACCTTTATACTAAAAATAGCTTTTTCTACTTTTTGCCATAACTTTTGAACCATAAAAGAGAGGGACTTCATATTTAGTATGCATACCCCACTAATTAAGTTCTTACAAATAACACCAAGGTCAATGACCTTGTGACCTTGACTGTGAACTATATGCTAAAAATAGCTTTTTCGAACTTTGTTGACGCCGGGCGCATAGTGTTTCACAAACACATCTTGTTACCCCTTGACGTTGATGTTTTACATAATTTTCAAAATATTTAACTCTCCTAAAAGATGATTAGGCTTCTGAGTAACATTAAGGAAGACTTCAAGGAAGACAGGGCTTT